GAGTGCGGGCAAGGGGCGCCGGGGTTGCCGCGCGGGTCCGCCGGGCGCCACCGAGCAGCCGCTGGTGCGGAACCCGAGCCGAGCGACCTGCGGCAGCGGCGTTGAGGCGGGGTCTCTCTCGGGGGAGCGGAGAGGGGGCGACCCCGGGCGTCCGGAGCGCCGACGCCTGGCTTTAGTTGAAACGGAGGAGAGGGCCCCCCGGAGGCCTGGGCCCGGGGACGGACGACTCCCAGTTCCCGGTCATTGCTTTTGCAGCGAGCAGGTTCCTTGGAGGCATTTAGAGCAAGAGAAGAGTATCGACCCCCTGCGATTGTAATATGTTCCCTGCTCGATGTTTTTTTCCCTTAAAAGGCGGTGGGGGTGTTGGGGGGGATGGGTGTGAGGGCCTTAGGGCTGGGGCTCGGTATCCTGCGGACGATCCGAGGGGGCTCTGCCTTTCGAGTGGTGCTGAGCCTTTCTGGAGGATGATGGCAGCGACCCGCCTAGGCCAAGAATTGGGGCTCCTGTTACAGAGAAAAGAGGATGGGAAGGCGGTGCCAGGCGAGACCAGGGTTCCCTGGAGTCTGTTTCTCCGGGTGGAGAGACTTGCCTAGTACGATGTCTGCCTGGCTTGGGGAGACAGCTGAGCCCCTGACCAGCTCCTTCTGTCCAAGTGATTTCTCTGTCCTGGGGATTGAGTCCCGCTGCCCTCGCCCCAGTCTGGGGGAGGCTCCTTGGCCAAATTCAATTAAGCAAATATTTACTGAGCACTTGCTTCCCCAGGGCCTGACGCTGGGGTAGACTGGGTGGGAGTGAACTGGGCCTGCCCTCCCAGGACTGACTCACCACCCCAGAGGGGAGAAACGTCTCTGCTCAGATAACCCAGCTCAAGTGTGAGTGCGGGGGGCCTCTGAAGGGACCTCAGAGAGGTGCCCCGGGCTCAGATTAGACACATGGCATTTGAACTGGAGCTTGAAGGACATGGCAACAGTTAGGGTGGGCATTGCAGGCAGAGGGTAGAGAATGGATGGAGGTACAGTGAGGCACTTAGGCAGTTGGGTGGTGGGAGCAGGGGTGTGCTTGGGAAGGAGAAGGAGGTATGGCAGGAAAGGCAGGTGAGGGCTGCAGGGGGTGCTGAGGGAGCTGGGGAAGTTGAACGACCCCGTTGCTTGTTAGGTGTGGCCGCCTCCTTGTCTGTAAAAGGGGAGTGGTTCTGTGATCCTGTGAGCTGGAGTGGGCATGGGGAGGAGCTTTAAAGACCAGGGAGGGCTCCTTGCAGCGTGGGGCTGCCCCTCCAGGCACTTTGTCCCTTAGGCAGGGCCAGGGCACTGGGTAACCAACCACCTGGCCCCATTTTTAGCTGCCTGGCATGGAGCTGCCTGTTTCTGGGACAGTGCTTAGCTGGTGACTCTGTGCCTTTGGGCCATGGATGTTTGAGAGCAGTAACCATGGAGGCCTGGGAGTGTCCATCTAGGGGCAGATGGGGGCTGCGGAGGGCCTGGCCATGCCTGGATGAAGTGGTGTGCCTTCAGCATGCCTCCTTCTCCAGGGATGACGAGACACTGGCATGTGGTTTAAAGTTCTTCCTGTGTGTTCTTCTATCAGACGCTGATTTTCTGAGACAGAAGGTGAATAAGACATGGTTCTTTCCCCTCAGAAGGCTAGTGTCACCTTCTGCTCTAGATCTGCTCATTCGCTCCTGGGGCTGTTTGTTACTCATCTTTGTAGTCCTTGCCCCCATCCCCCCCGCCACACACACACAGTGGGCTTTGGCTGAGGCCAGCTGCAGCAAGAACAGGGCCTGCCTGCCCTCACGGGGTGTGCGGTCTGTGCCAAGCGGAATAGAGCTGCTTCACTCTGTGCCTTTTGCATTGCCCTGCCATGGGACTTTGGGTTTGGGACACAGGGAATGGAGTCCTCCCTCTGTCCCCAGCCTCTTAGCCCTTCTGTTTCCTGGAGTCCCACAAGGAAAAGTGCCTCTGTCTGGACCTCAGGAGCTTCTGGGGCAATTTCAGGGACTTCCACATAAGTGGACAGACTTAACAAGGCTGCCCAGGGCCCTGCAGAGAGGCCAGTGGGACAGAGGACCTCCCTTCAGAAGAAATGCCGAATAGTGGGAAGGCTGGCCTTGGACTAAGGGTGTGGCCTCCACCTAGCCACTTCATTGTCTCGTGTAAACGCGGATGACACTGTGTGCCGCTTCCTCCCCTGGAGGCAAGGACAAGGTAGCCCTGTGCTGGCCAAACTGGCCTCAGAAGACTATAGATGTGCAGTTGTGGGTGTTCTCGCTGCCGCTGACCATGGCAGGCCCACAGGAACTCTGGAGGAGGCAGATTAGCATGCTGCTCTCCTGAAGCACCCAGGAAGGAAACCTGGGGTAACTGGGCCTCCAGGGGTGGCCTGCAAGCACTGTGCTTGTTGGAAGGAACATGAATGGAAATGGACAGACCTTGGGGCAGACACCAAGGGTCAGCACCAGGCAGAAGCCCTAAGTGGAGGCCACACTGCAGCTTGTGCAGACTGGGGAGGGGCCTGGGGACACCCAGACTTGTGCCCCTGAACTCCAGTCTAGGCATCAGAAGACCTGGGGTCAGGCCTGGCCCTACCACCCCCTCGTCCAGCCCTATCCTCTCTGAGTCTCCTTGTCCTCCCCTGTAAACAGAGCTAAGAGTGCCTGCCCAGTCCCTGCACCAGCCCTCCCTGTGTGTGTGTGTCCTTTTCCACGTGTCCACACTGGCAGGGGAGGTGCTTCATAGGAGTAAACCAACAGAGACTAACTCACAGGGACCATCTGACAGATCCTGGAGCATGTAGGAGGAGACATCAGCCTTCCCTATGGAGCCCGAGGAGTGAAACTTCACACAATTCGCTCATTAATTCGTTCAGCTAGTATTTACCAGTGCCTGCTGAGTGCCAGGCGCTGTGCCAGGTACAGGGGTACAGCAGGGACGTGGCCTCCACTCATGGTCCTCACATCAGACTGGCAGTGGCTGACACACGTGTAACTGATTACCAGGTAGGATGAGTGTCGTGCCATTGAGAAAACTAAAGCAGAAGGTGGAGGACACCTCTTTGGGAGTATTGGTGCAGTTCCGTGGAGAAGCAATGGGCGAGTCGTGTGGCTGGCCAGGGGAGGGCACCCAGGAGAGGGACAGCAGGTGCAAAGGCACTGAGCAGACACAGGCCAGCTGCTAGGGGCCCCCCAGAAGGCCAGGTGGCTAGAACCTGGTAGGGGGTCATGCAGGGCCCCACAGGCCCCCAGGAGGCATGGGAAGACTGGAGCAGAGGAGAGACTTGATGACTGAGTGGGGGCAAGACCCAGAGGCCAGTAGGAGTAGCAGGTCAGATCTGCTAATGGAGAAGAGGCAAGGACAGCTGTGGGTTTTTGGTCTGAGCCAGTGGAAAGATAGACCTGGCCCTGGCTGAGAAGAAAGACTGGAAAAACTCATCTGTGAGAGGCAGGGAATCGGGAGTTGGGTTTGACACCCTGGTAGGCTTTGGCACATGTGGTGGCCAGAGGGGAGAGTGAGGCTGGAGAGAGCAACCTGGAGTCCTCAGCACCAAGGAGTGCCAGAAGTTGGGGACCAGACAAGCTCACTTGGGAATCGAGGGTAGGTGGGACCAGAAGAGGAGGACTGGGCCTCAGGACCTCTACTGCTCAGAGCATGAGTTGAGAAGGAGCCGCCAGAAAAGGAGACTGAGGAGGATTGGGAAGCGAGTGAGGTGGGAGTATGATCCTATCCGATGGCACCTCAGGAGGCCAGAG